TTGCCAGCAATAACATGCTTAGGTAAAGGAATGGCCGGAAGAAAATGGCCTGACTATAATGACCCTGTGCTAATTTGTTTTTCCCCCATCTCTCTCTCTCTCGCTCTCTCTCTCTGAATTGTGCTTGTAGCCTGAAAGAATAAATTAAAGCAGCCCAGCCTTTAGTTTGTTATAACAGCTCAGAGCAAAGAGCAGCAACAAGTCAGGGGAGTGCAACGATGAGCTTGAAGCCACCTTTGTGTGCATGCACACACCCCTCAGTTAGCTGTGTCCCAGGATCTGGTGTATGAGATTCAGAAAAAGGACATCAAAATTGACTCACAATGAGCTGCTTTTTTTCTAAACTCCTTCTCATAGGCTCACAAGGTTAGAAGGAGTAGCTTCCATAGATGTGTTTTCTGGGTTGGATTATGGTTGTTTTTTCTTGACTTGACTTTCCAAGTAGAGCACTTTTTATTGAAAGCCAATCTGCTTCTCTCACAATGATATATGGGCAGTGCCAGGGGTGCTGTCGATCTAAAGTAGGTTGGGTAACTGAAGAGGCTTCTTCCTTAGAAATATTTGTATTTGTATCTATAGAGTTAAGTACTGAAAGAAGGTAAGAAGAAAAAGAATGTGCTTTAAGGGCCAGACACTGCTGCCCTTTGAAAGATTAAAAAAAATGCATAAATTGAATACTTCTCCAGATCTCAGCATGTTACCAGATTGTGCTCTTTGATTTTTTCTCAGATGTGTGGAAGCAGTTAGCTCATCTCCTGATTTCAGAAAGGCATTTAAGCACATCCTTAAGACTTCAATGCATGTGCCTAAAACAGGTGTTTTGCTGAATTGGGGCGTAGTCTTTTAAGAATTTATTGTTCCTACAGAGTGCCTTGTCCTGAGGCTTCAGAACACAAAGCTGAGAAGTAATACTTGTCATTAGCATGTTTAATTGATTGTCAAGACACCTATTTTCCTGATTCTGACATCAATCCCACAATAACTCATAATTATCCTTCAGTTAGAATCTAGTCTCTCAATTCAAAAGTTGTGAGCAAAGACAGGACAGATAAGGCAGAAGAAATATACTTCAGGAACAGTCTTGTCTCTCAAGGAGATAAATTAAAACACCAGTGATACCATTTAAAAAATGGAACATTTGCCAAGTCAACATATAGGAAATAAGGGCACTATACAAGCCTATTAAGTCAACTAAATGACTCCTGTGGACTGGATCAGGTCCTAACTGCAGAATTACAGATGTTGTTATGTGGTAGTTCTGGGTAAATGTTAATATTTTATCGGTAATCAATTTAATACTGCAGACTGTTTCCTCATTTAGCTTCTGTAATCTTGTCCCTCTGTCCTGTCTTCCAAAGAACTGGATGCAGACTAGTTTTCAAACCTTCTTGTTGTGTAATCTTCCCATCTGGAAGTTATGAATCTCTCATGGAATATTGCTATGATGAAGATAATAGAATGGATTCCACTTCATTCCTTGAGAGCCTATCAGCAACTAGACGTCCAAAAATTGACTGATTTTGTGTGTGTGTGCATGCGCGTGCGCTCAAGATACTTTGCAAAAGAAAAAGAGTCCCTGCTCTGAAGATATGACAATCTGGTTGACACACGTTTACTAATTTCTGAACCTGTTTATTTTAAATTTTGCTTTACAGATTTGAATATAGCTTCCATGCACTAGAAACATTCTTGCTATGCCTTAGTAGATCCTGATCCTATGCTCATTGAAATCATGAAATCAAGCTTCATATTGACTTTAATAGTACAGACTTAACCCCAGGAGGTGCTGTGTAGAGTCACTCTGTGCTAACTGAACAGGATCATTTAAACATATTCCCTTGTATATTGTTTTTAAGAGGCAGACCCTTATTCAGCACAACAGTGGCCAAAAGCATTGGGAGAAATCCCCACAAAATAAAAATCTGATGGTTGCAGCGTTAAGACCCCTTCCCTGTCCCCCTCCCCAAAAATCAATAGATTATTAAAGCTACTTCAAGGCTTCCACCACTATCATATAAAAGTTTTATGATCAAATATGAAAAATCATTACTGCAATATCAAAACATTCATAACAACAATATTAAAAACAAACACTCTCTTCCCAGAGGCATATCATCTAAAGAATCCAAAAGGAAAAAAAGTATTGTTGCAAGAATGGCAGTTAGCCAGTTCACTCAGTCACCATACCTGGTTTCAATAAATGTGCCAGTTTCAGTTAAAAGAGCTTCAAAAGACCTGTAAAAAGAAGTGCTTGAGCAAACAAACTAAAGTCAAATCAAATCCAAAATATATATAAAAAAGAGATTCAGAAATTTTCAAATTACCAGCTGATCTGCATGTGGCATCAAGCCTTTTGAATTCTGGTATAATCAGCTGTTCAGGGCCTTCCTTAGAAGAGAACTTGTAAGCCAAAATGTTGAACCTAATCAAAATGTTGAACCTAATCAGGCCTATTCCTGACCTCTACTGCAGGTGTCCAATTCCTATTGACTTCAACTTTCACTGTGTTTAACTTCCCACAAAAACAGGAGCTCCCCGTTAACATGGCTCATCTTCTCTTTGCCATCCCTGGGAGTAATACGTAAAGAAAGCAAAGCACATATATAGCTCAGGGAATTGTTTTGTATTTGCTACCAAACTGTACATCTTTCATACATTTCTGTGTGTTTTTACCTTGTCATGTAGCCATTTTTTAAATTTCATGAAAGATAGTGTGTACACTTGACAGTGGGCTAGTGTTTTGGGGATTATTCCTCTTCTACTCCAGTACTATGAAAACAATGCTCAAAAAATTTTTTCCAGTCCAGTTTATCTCTGAGACTGACTTGCTGTGTTTCATGTTTTAAATTAAATAAAGCATTGCATTTAGAACTGAACCAGAGTGGTGAGGCTTGGCCATAGGCTTGTTACCTGACTCACTATGTTGTGCCCCTGAAATAGTTCATAGAACCATAGAACTAAGGTATCAACAGACTAGCCTTTCCCTTCACAGTATCAGGATTAGGAAAATACCATCCTATCTTATTTGAATAGGCTTATTAATTTTACCTTCTCTTAAAAGACAGGAGTAGTAGATAGCCCTTATAGCCATGGTGGGCAAGCTGTACACAGACCATCAGGGTAATCCACTGATGGGCTGGGCGACAATTTGTTTATATTAAGTGCCTGCAGGCATGGCCCCCCATAGCACCCACTGGCTGTGGTTTGCCATTCCTGGCCAATGGAAGTTGTGGGAAGTGTTGGCTAGCATGTCTCTGTTGCTCACACTGCTTCCTGCAGCTGCTGTTGGCTAGGAACGATGAACAATGGCCAGTGGAAGATATGAAGGGCCATGCCTGCAAATGCTTAATGTAAGCAAATGGTCTCCCAGCCCACATACAGCCTGTGGGTTGCAGGTTGGGCACCACTGCCTTATGGAATTCCAAGATGACCCAGCTTCGGGTGCTTTCAGACCAAGTCAGGGGAGCATTCCGAATTCAAGGGCCTTACATTGAAAACACTTGTCACAAGTCTCATGGATTAAACCAGAGTGCTGTCAAGCTGAGCACCTCAGCTGAACACTCTCTCCATGGTACCACAAGAGGAGAGAGATCTGTCAGGCAGCCAGCTCCCAAATCACATGGGGCCTTATAGAGATGAAAATCAACAACTTAAATTTGCCCTCTGAAATGAACCGACAGCCAGTGCAGATCTCAGAGCACAGGTGTAATATCCTCCCTGTATGCCCTCAGCTTTCTTCCTCTATATACAGACAATCTGAGGTCACCCTCTGCCCCTTCAGGAGATAATCTACTTCCAGACCATAAGCAGCAAAACAGTTAACATTATGCTCGACTCTTTAGCTGACTTGAAAGCATGAATACAATTCAAAGCACTTAAAAAGGGACTCTGCCTTCCAAATGGTGCGTATTTAAAATAGTCTTCCTTTTGTTATGATACAGTTGCTCCAAAGGCAAATGTGGGTATGGTGCAGGGTCAGCCTACTGCAAGGTATTTATTTTGGTTGACATTTTTCTTTGTCAAGATTCTGTTCCCTGTTATTCAGTATGTACTGCCCTGCACATAACCCACCTATTTAACAGTCTTTAGATAAAAGCAGGTATTTTCCCATATCAATAAATGTTCTGGTGGGAAGCTGTGTGCTGGCCTCAGAGAACCATCCCCTGCCATCTGTCTCACTAGTGCACTGAGTGCAAAATAAGAAGCCATTCTGTCTAGCAACAAAACAATAATTAATTTTTCATGTGAGCACCAAAGTCTTGAAGAGCACAGAATCTTTTTGAATACACTGGGAAGTGGCCCTGAAGAGAAAGGAACAACAGACCCAAGGAACTGTGCTTTATTTTCTCCCCTGTTAGTTATTTGCTATTTCAAGAAAACCCTTTTATGTAGAACTACAACTCTTTTAGCTTTTCCCTGACACGTTCATTTTGAAGATTCCACTTGACCTTCAACTATGTCCTTTATTAGGAGGATTATATCTAAACATTCCTTCATTTTACTGCAAATGAAGGCAGATGCAATGTGTTTTCTATCTCATCCAGAGCATTAGGGTTATCCCAAGAGTGGCATTTATGTTCTTGTAGTTCTTTGGTATAAATAAATATCAAAGTAGGAAGACCAATCTATACTCCACTAGGAATAATAAACTAAAATAATGTGGCATCCATTTTGTTTGGGGTATCTAAATGTGATTTTATGATTTTATAGATGTATGGCTTTTTCCATCCCGCTCTCATGAATTCCAGACCATTAAGAAAGACATGAATTCCAAAGCATTTAAAAAGGGACTCTACCTTCCAAATGATGTGTATTAAAAATAGTCTTCCTTTTGGTACGACACAGTTGCTCCAAAGGTAAATCTCCCACTTTCTTAAAAATCTCTCTCCCTCACAGCAAAAACACACACACACACACACACACCACATACAGCAACAGAACAAACTAAGCAACACCTCCCCTCCAAACCTCTAGAACTGATTAAGATATTTCTCTTACAGACTGGGCAGGAATAAAAGGGCATGAGTTTCTGTTAAAAATATGTAGGAGCTGCTCAGATAATATGGAGAATGCGGGCCACAGAAGTATCTGGATGAATGGCTGGACAGACAGGTAATAATGCTTTAACATACCACAATAGATTTTAATTATTCTGATCATAAATATATACTAAAGATTAGAAGCAAAGGAGAGAAGGAGGAAATCTGTTTTTGTCTTGTTTGCTTTTTTCTGATGTATAAAAGAGACATGAATATGTTATTTCTTATATTAGCAGACAGGCCTTGTTTACCCTATTTTACCATGGAAAACTCTACCATAACAGAACCAATAGGATTATGACCTCACAAGTACTGTATCAGGAAAAGTGAAAATATGAGCAATTGAGAAGCAAAGATGGTTTGTCAGATTGTTTTAAAATGCTTGGCTTTTTATTTTTTTGTTGTTAACCCTTATTAATTGAAATGTCTAAAATTGTTGGGTGAAAAATATTTTTGTTAAAATACATCACTTCATTCTCTCAATTACATACAGAAAAATCCAGTTCCAGATCTCTTTATCTTCAAAGAAACATGCAGCAAAATCAGCAAAATCCATATCATATTTCTAAGATTTTTAAAAAAGAAACTTTAAAACAATTTAAAAAACACCTCACTTTTCAGACCTTTTTTTGTCAACTACAAAAAAAAAAAAGATGGCTACAAATCCATACATTTCTTAAAGTCATCCTTAAACAACACATTAAAAGAATCAGATTCTGATACCTTGTCTTATGTCAATGAGTCATCCCACAGTAGTCAATAAAACAACATGTGTACTAAAGTGCTGCTTTCTTCGAGTAAGGCTTTCAGAATCTAGTTCAGACATTCAGAGAATGTTTAATAGAGAATACAATTAGAGTTTAGTTAATGTAGTTACAGAAATTAGTCAATGATTAGTTTATAATGAATCTATACCAAGCATTGGATGAATTTCAATCTCTGAGTCATCTACACATCAAATTTTTGTCCCTTTGTTTCACAGAGTACACAGAACCCTGCTTATATAGAGTTCCTTATCTATAGGACTGAAAGATATGTATGCAGTAGTCTAAGCACCTGTGCTATGCAACATACTACTCAATTTGCTTCACTTTTGTTCATGCCAAGAGACAGTACTTTTTTTCCTTTACTATATTTTCTCCTTTGTCTTGGTTTTTGCTAGTAAAAATTAACCTCCAAAGGACTATATGCTTAGCCAAATAATCAAAACTGTGGAAGTTCTCTACACATACCCAATCCAAGCTAATCTATCCAAAGTCTTCTAGTACCATACACTATCACTATTGTGGGAAAAACCTAGGACTTGCTTCCCCCGTGATATCTTCCGGGTTACCTGGAAATCAACCTCCATGATATTGCAAAGGCAGTCAGGTTGCTTGCACTTCCAGCTGCATCTACCAGTGTAACTTCCCTTTCTAATGTGGGGTTGGGCTGTCTCCAGAAGATGCTTTGAAAGGATTGGGGAGAGGAAGCAAACCTACTGATCATTGCACTTCAGAAAGCAAGAGGGGAGGATCCAACCGAAAATCAAGGAGGACAGACTACACCTCCCAAATTCCTGTAAAAGCCTCAAAGGAAAGAACCAAACTTTTGGGCTACGTCTACACTGGCAGCTTCTTGCACAAGAACTCTTTTCTGGAAGAGTTCTTGTGCAAAAACTCTTCCACAAGGGAGCACCTACACTGGCATGTGCTTTTGCGCAAGAACATCCATGCCAGTGTAGACGCTCTCTTGGGCAAGAAAGCTTTCATGGCTATTTTAACCATAGGGCTTTCTTGCGCAAGAAATTCATGTTGCCTGTCTACACTGGTTTCTTGCACAAGAACAGTTGCACAAAAGGGCTTATTCCTGAGCAGGAGCATCATAGTTCTTGCGTAAGAAGCCCCGATTTTATACAGTAGAATGTCAGTTTACTTGTGCAAGAACACACAGCAAGTGTAGACAGGCAGCAAGTTTTTAGCAAAGAGCAGCCACTTTGGCATAAGATCGTGCCAGTGTAGACACAGCACTGAGGTCTCCCTTCCATCAAGAAAACCTCCCATACCAGCTAAGAGCAGGTGGAAGGTTGAGGAATAATTAGCTCAATTCATCTCCCTCTAGGAAGATACAGGGCGCTCTACTGAATGTTTGGATGTTAGGAATGGGGAAATCTTGGGGAACATGAGATAGGGTTAATTTGAACATTTCTGAACCTGCCTGCCAGTGTACCCCAGTGTAATCTGTTTCACTGTTTTCCTTTGGTTGGTAATATTGTAAGTTACCTCTTTAAAAATATTCCAGTGGAATCATTGTTTACTCTTGAAATAACTTTACCGGAGGTCAGAAGTTCAGCACAGTAATGGTGACCCTTGTGAATTTTACATTCCAAGTCACTCAGTGACTGGAAGACCAGATTCCAAGAGGAAAAAAATAGTAACAACCTAAATCAACTTCTTGCAATGATGACAAGTGTCTAACTTACTTTTTTGATTATTCTGGGCTGAGGTTAAATATGTTTCTTCAAAAGACTGATCTATCTGACAGCAATGAATAAGGAAAAATGCCCCTAACCAATTCTTTTTACAGTACACAGTGATTGAAAGGTAAGGCAAAGTTTGTATGATGAACATATGAAACGTGCATAAAATTACAGTTCAAAGAAACAATATACATTATGTTTACAAATAATTTTTTAACATAAATGGGATTATTTTATGGAGAAATCTCTGTATAATCAGAAGTCACTGAAGATGTTCTCTGCTTTGACTGCAGGAGATGGTCTTTCATTTATTGCTTTCCTGCACCTTGACATCCAACCCAGTAAGTAAAAACTTTGCTGGTGATAACATAGAGCCTATTCTTCCATCGTATTTACATTGATAACTCCCACTTGGTATTACTGTGAAATTACCCATCTAAACCCACATGGTATTATTTAACATTTATATTGGGGTAGTCCCTAGAGACCAAGTTAGGTTTCCTTAGTGTTCGATAGTCTACAAATATATAGTAAATGACAGCTTCTACCCCTGTGGTTCAGGGCTCCTCTCCCCCCCCCCCCCAGCACTGGGGAGTCCACACTGGCACTCCAGCCTCACAGCCCCCCTGAGGTACCTACTGCGAGGCTGGAGCACCAATGCCAGCTCCCTGCTTCAGACGTGGGGAATAAGAATGTTAAGGATGAGTCGACTATCTGATAAGCAAATGCTTATCAGATAGTCTACTAGTCGCTCCCCTTCCCCCGCTGCCTCTATCAGATAGAGGCAGCAAAGTGAAGGAAAGTGGGGGTACTTCAAAACAGCCGCACTGCAAGGAGCCTGGGAGCCCGGGCTCCATGCAGTGCTGCTGCATTGAAATACCGTGGCGGTGTTTCAAAGGGACAGCAGCGCACAGGTGATCCTGGGCTCCCTGCTGCACTGCCTCTTTGAATCGCTGCCGCAGAATATCAACGTGGCAGCACCGCATGAAACTGACCCCGGGCTCCGTGCGGCGCTGCCCCTTTGAAACACCACAGCGGCGTTTTAAAGGGGCAGTGCTGCAGGGAGCCCAGGATCAGCTGTGTGGTGCTTGCCCCAGGCTCCATTCGGCACTGCCGCTTTGAAACGCTGCCATGGCTTTTCAAAGCAGCAGCGCCAAATGGAGCTCCCCAGCTGATCCCGGGCTATGTGCAGTGCTGCCCCTTTGAAATGCTGCAGCAGTGTTTTAAGAGGGGCAGCACTGCCCTGTCAACTAATTGAATAGTTGATGCAAAAGAGCATCCACTATTCCATTAGTGAATTACACTATACTTAGCGTCCTTCGTAGGGAGCCCCGAGCCTCACAGGCCTGATTCAGGCAAGTCGAGCCACATTCAACCCACAGACTCTGCACGGCAAGGGAAAGAAGCAGCTCTGCACACTGCACTCTCCTTCCACTGGCTGGCACAGCAAGGTGCTGACTGGAGGCTTTTCCCCCTGCTGCTTCAATTGGCCATAATCATAATCATGGCCAATAGCAGCAGCAGCAGCAAGGACAGTGCCTGGGAGCAGCAGGGGACACGGAGTCATGTGCATCCCCAGGGAGTTGCGCTAGGTAAACACCCCCCTATTGACCAGACCCCATATACCTACTGCACCCTTCCTCCTGTCCCAACTCCACACCCCAAGCCCACTTCCCAGCAGCCCCTGCCCACACACTGAACCCCTCATTTTTGGCCCCACCCCAGAGCCTGGGGGGCCCTACAAAATCTACTAGCTTGGCCCCCCCTTAGACAGTGGTGTGTGAGGGGAATGTGGGGCAATGTCTTTCTGCCTCTCAGTCTGGGGCTTTTCACTTTTGTGTGACCCCCTGACTTATTTTTCTGAGGGTTTCTGATCCAAAAAAACGTTCCTCACCCCAGTGTAGAAGGTCCCGCCATCATGGTCTTAGAGACATCCAGCTTTCTGATGGACAGTTCCTGCTCTTTCTACAAACAATTTTTGAAATCTGAATTCATGGGCAGACATCATAGATAATTACAGCAGAAAAGAGCCAATACTTAGAAATGATAATTGCTTTGTCAATTTTCCTTCATTTCCTCAGTATCTGGTATAAATAGTTTCTTGGAAAATATCTAAGAAATAGCATGTATAACACCATTGTCCTATCCGTGTCTAACCTTTGTTTCCTTACTTCTGTTTTTGGTAAGAAGCAAGTTTTAAACTGTTGTCTTTTCATGACTTTTCAATATGAGAGTTCATACAGATTAAAGTCCATCATTTGAGGCTCACAGTTACTTCAAAGGTTCTCCTCATCTTGAGATGTGTAACAACAGCACATTTTCATCTGGTTCTTCAAAGGTTTTTTATCAAAATCTTGTTTTAAATAATGCCCATAATCTTATTTTTACTTTTAAAGCAGGAATATGAGGAATTAAGTAATGGGGCTTCATTTTTAGTTAATTTTCTATAATAATACTGATGCTTATTGTCTATACTATAATATTTGAATTGAAAGAAAATAAATTATTTTGTGTTTATCAGGCACTTGTGTTCCAGTGCCTAGACCAAGGAACTAGGGTGAGAAGATTCAGAGCTGGTAATAATTGTCACTGAAGTCAATACAGCTATGAAAATGTACCCCAGCTGGGGCTTGTTGGAAGGAATGGCTTGGAGCTATCCATGCTCTACCACTGACTCACTGCATGATTTGAAGTAAGTTATTTCTGTTTCAGTGAACCTAACTAAACATCCCTACATATTTACAGGGCCAGATCCTCATACAGTGAAGCTCTAAGCCCCACTTCCTGCAAAAAGAGCTGTGTGTTCCCAATGAGCAGACAGACCTTTGCATCCTCATGTCTCACTGAATCCAAGAGGATGGGGTGTGGATGTGTAACCCACACATTTGCTGGGTGTGGTTCATTGTCCCATCTAGTGGCACTTAGTCCACTTACAGAGCAAAAGAACAAGTTTGCTCTGCAGCCTTAGCAGAGTGCCAGTTGGCTGCAGAGGCTTGTGCACTAAGCTCCAGAGGTTCCAGGTTTGCTTCTGATCGTCAGCATTACAGATGCAAAGGTCTGTCAGTTCATTTGGATTTCCTGGCTCAAGCAGGAGCTAAAGCATGTCTGTATATGGGAAACTGCAGGCAAGTTTTTAATGTTGAGCCTGATTTTCAGAGCTACTGAGGACTAAGTTCATTAGTAGGTGCTCACCATGTTCTGAAAAATCAGGATGACTGTCAAAACTCACTCACACACAAATCCAAGGCCATTTTTTTACAACGTTGACCTTATTTTCTATCACAAAGCACCCATGAAAACGAAGATCCGCTGTAGTGCTCTCACAGTTTACAGATTGCTCTATGACATCAGTGTTTTCATGAAAATTTGCCAGATCTCCCTAATTAATAATAACAAGCAAAAGAGCTACAATGTACATTACATTTAATCAATTTGCTATTTGTATTCATTATGTATATCCTCCATTTTTCAGTCATGAAAAATTGAAAGGCAATTACAAGAGGAAAGAGCATTGTGGATAACAAATGATATAATAAGAGCATAAACCCTATTAATTGGTCAGCTGTGCTTGTCAGTATGTTTAAAGTGATTAAGGCAGCAGATTAGATAAAACAATTCTGTATCTTTGAAGTAAAATAGAATAATATCTAGGCAATCACTGGCAGGGTATCCTGGCTAGGAATAAAAAAAACCCATCTACACATGAGCTGTGTTAATAGCTGCTTTAAAAAGCTTTTTAGCTACAGCTATCACTTTAAAAAGTCAATGTAACTTGGAGTGAAATGTGTTATTTGTAGTGCCTGGTAGCCTCACCAAAACTATACATAAGTCTGTCAGCATCTCTATTATAGCATCCAATTGCCAGGGGCCTCTAATTCATCTTCTTTACATTTGAACAGCCTCAAAGAAGGCAAACAAATTAGTGGCTCAGATGTCTATTTCTGTATGGAAAAAAGGGAGAACAAATTATTTAAACTGATTTTTAATCAGGGGAATATCAAATTGACAACAGTTTTAGCAATTTCATCTGCATGTTTTTCTGAAACCACAGCTAAGCATAAGTATTAATTAAAAGCAAGTAATATTGTAAGAGGCTGTGTAAAAAAAATAATCTTGAGCCTTTTAGTATCTTGGAAAAAACAAAGTTTTGGAACAGCCACAATATCCTCAGATAGCAAAAAGCTGTCCTGAATATGTTTATCAGCTATTTGAATTAGCATTTTAAGTTGCATCAGCACCTAATATTTTGCATATTTCTATACTAGAAGTTTTACCCAGTGTTGCTCAGGTCCTTACCTCAAATACGTTTTGTTTTTCTTCATTTCAATCATTGTTCTGGGTTGGGGCTGGGAATAAGAGGTTCGGTAAAGAGGAAAACCTCAGCCCTCTCTCACTGCAACAGTTCAGGGCCAGGTGAGAAGCGCCTGTCCATGGATGATGCAGCAACAGCAAATGCAGCCGGGGCTAGGGTGCGTGTCCTTCAGTTGGTGGATGGACAGACACACAAACAAACCCTCTGAAATGTATAGTAGATAGCTGCCCCTTTCTCTACCCCTTCCCCTTGCTGGACCAATGATGTTATAGCTGTATCGGTCCCCATCTCTGGTCCCCTTGCTGCCCCTTGTGGTCATTCTGCAGTATAACTATCCCTCCTGCCAGGCCCATCCCTTTCCATTTAGCGGTCTTAGCGGTTACTGTTTAGGAGGAGTTCTTGAACAAACAGATTCATGAATAGACAGAAGCACAAACTCTCTAAAATGTATAGTAGATATTTGCCAAGTATATTTCAATGTCTCATCCATTTCAAGCTGCACAAAATTAAGTCTGTAGATACGCATTCTTTCCGCCACACCAATAGCTATCAACTAGTTACAGTGGCGCTGAAATTATCTTTAGAGTCAGGGTGCTGAGTTGCACTCCCTTACACTTATTTGTACACCTCACCACTCCAGACTGAAGTCACAACTAGAGGTGCCAACTCTCCTGGACCAGACACTATTGTCATGAATAGCATCTGGACTGGGAGAGTTGGCAACCCCAGCCACAGCTAGAGGCAACTGCAAAGTCTCTGGCCGGCAGCAGGACCCCAAGCAGCATCAGAGCCTGCAGGGCCAGTGACCTGGAACTTGGGGATGATGGGCTGAAGAACCCATGGGGACAGTGGGGATGCAGGACCTCAGGGTGTGTTGCAGCTGTCAGGACTGCAGAGGGGCTGCCTGGAGGCCAGGACCCAAGGCTGGCTGGCCAGGAGCGAGGCCAGCACCTGGACACAGGTAAGCCATATGCAAAACCTGAGGGTACTGCAGCACCCCCTGTACCCTTATTTCCCATGCTTATGACTAGTTAATCAAAGCAAATATTACTTCATTTAGTTTCTTGAAAGGCAGGTGATAAGGGGTTGGCCAACTTCTCAGTTAAATGGTATAATTTAAAATGTAATGGGCATATTTAGGAGGTGATGAACACCCACAGCTCCCATTGACTTTTTAATGGCATTTTGACTGGTTATCATTTTCGAAAACTCACCTCCTATGTTACTATGAAAGGATTGTTGCTTAGAGTAATCATGACTTTTGACCAGTCACTTAGGGTTTGACTGGCTTACACTTTCAAGAGTGACTAGTGATTTAGATGCCTCTTTTTATGCTCAACTCTAGTTATCTTTAAAGAACCTGATTTTCATGAACTTGGCTTCAGCACTTGTATGAAATTATCTGCAAGTTGTATTAGGTTTATTGCCTGATCTAAGATTACATTTTAATTTCTAATTACCACCTTTAGGGTTGACTGGTTCTATGTCCCAGGATCAGGCCCGATACTCAGTTATTCTATGGTTGGGAACCTGGATGTGCATAGTTGCAATACTCACACTATAAAAACTCTTGTATATTTACAAATATAGTTTATTAATTCAGTTAGCACAGTCACAAACACCCCAATTTCATAAGATAGGGAATGTACATCCATATTTCCATACCACATACTTACCTCATTCCTTCTAGAACAATCTTAGGTGTTAGCCCATCATCTTTTTCATTACCTTCATCTTCCCCATCATCACGATGGGCCATCATTCTGGCTCTTCCAAGGACTACATCTTCTTCTCCCCATCACCCCTTGGCGGGGATCCCACTTTTATACTATGTGACACTGATGCGGACATGTTTGATGCATATTCAATAGGGGATGTGTCATGGGGCCCCGATACTGACCGCCCTGGTCATGTCCCCCCGCCCCGTTGGTTGCCCCAGTCTCTTCTGGTTCCTCTAAGCCGAGGGTAGTTGACCCTCCTTTTGGTTGCCCTGTCGATCACCTGAGTGAGGAGGTGATGGGGGTCTGGGCCCTCCCTCTCTCCAGACCCCAGCCCAGGGCCCTAAGGCAGGGGAGAATAACCTCTCTCCCCTCACCTGGCTGATGGGGCAAGGTGCCTCAACGCATCAGCCCGCTGGCTCCAGTCTGCACCCGCCCTGGGCTGCTTCCTCACTCCCTCGCTCACCAGCCGGTTTGTCCCGGAGTTTCTTCTGGGTTCTCAGTCCCTTCATCCGGTGCTCCCTCCTCCCCTTCCCTGTCCCTCGGGTCTCTGCTCTTTTATACCACCAGACCCCAGCCCAGGGCCCTAAGGCAGGGGAGAATAACCTCTCTCCCCTCACCTGGCTGATGGGGCAAGGTGCCTCAACGCATCAGCCCGCTGGCTCCAGTCTGCACCCGCCCTGGGCTGCTTCCTCACTCCCTCGCTCACCAGCCGGTTTGTCCCGGTGTTTCTTCTGGGTTCTCAGTCCCTTCATCCGGTGCTCCCTCCTCCCCTTCCCTGTCCCTCGGGTCTCTGCTCTTTTATACCAGGGAGGGCACCGCCCCTCCCCTCCAGGACGCCTGCGGCTCCACCCCCGCGTCCTCAGCTTCATCTGGCCCCTCCCGGTGTCCTCCTTCCACTGGCTTCGAGGGGTATCGGGGCTTCCCGTGGGACATCCGCAGGGGCACCAGACCCATGGCCAGTGGGGCGGTGTGCCTCCCCCGCTGCTGCCACCTCCCCTGAGGCGGAAGGCACTTTTCCCGTGGCGTCTGGGGGAGCGCCCGCCGAGCTGGCT